AAATCTTAATGTTTTGTTTTCGTTGGCTCACTTTGTCAAAACAAGGATTGGACTATGGCATTTGACATTCACTATGATAGATGATATAGATTAATTTTGCAAACATTGTTTAATTACATACTTACATATCATAAAAAAAAACAATTATTACAAAGTGAAATTCAAAAAAAAAAAAAAAAACAAAAGATGGACATATTCAAGGCAAAAAAAAAAAAAAAAAAAAAAAGGCATATCAAGGCATAGCCTAACAGTAAATACATACGATCTGATAATAAATTCAAGTTCGAATTCTCTTTTTCAATATCGAAAAAGAAAAAAAAAAGAAATTAAAAATTCAGTTTTTGCTTAATAGATCAGCATTTGATTTAAGTTTAACCATTTGGATGAAGATGGGCTCCTCTTTATTTAGTCTTCATATTACATTAAATAACTAACTACTTTCTGGCTATGTTAAGCAATTGAGATAAGAAGAAATTAATTTTTCTATCAAAAGTAAATCTGACCAAATTACTTTATCTTAAATAAAAAATAATTTGTGAAGATAATTATGCTATCTGATATAACTAAAGATAAAATTGAAAAATTCATTTATTATTTTTAAAAATACTCAGCCAGTTTTTTTTTTTTTAAATTTAATTATTTGTATCATTAAAATAATAATTTCCTCCTCTACGAATACTAATAATATTTTTGAATACACCAGTTTCAAGTAAAATTTTTCCTTTAAGATTGAGGACAGCCAATTGATTAATTAAATCAATAGTTGTGGCTTTAAAAATTTTTGAAAATCCATCTTTTTTATTTTAGTTTTGATGCTATTTAAATAAGAATAATTTTTTTTTCTTTTCTTTTTCAATTTTTTTTATATGAACTAATTGATTATAGCTGATTCTAACTACTTTAAGCCATTTTCAACCTATTTCAATTTTAAAAACAAAAACAAAAACAAAAACTGGGTAAGTACTTTTAATTCGAGACCAATTGAAGGCCCGTGCGATGTATAATTGATATTATATTCCCTCTACCTCATTTTGTTTGCTTGTTATTTCTTTTTTTTATATCCCAAAATGTTGCAAGGTTTCTAAATTTAGACATGTAAATAATTATTTTTTCTATGATCACCTTTATAATCCATTAAATGAGAGACTTTCATTAATATCTTTAATGAGTTAAAGGTAAAAATTAGTAAAATAATTTTAGTTGCCTAAATTCTTAATATGCATGTTTTATCAAACCATACAAATAAAATGGGACAGCAGGAGTATTTCAAATGTATTGAATAATTAGTTTGGTATATGATGCTTATTTCAAATTTATTATTGTTAATGCTTGGACAAAGCTATTAAAAAATGTAAAGACAAAATTGTAAATTGTAAAATTATAAAATTTTACAATAGAAAAGACAAAGAAAATCCTTACAAAAGAAAATAAATGGTTATAATTAAATTATAATAATGCTCGTCTATTTTTCATTGACTGAATTCTATTCGTATAATTTTATTGTCAATACTTGCAAACACATCTTTTTCAATGTAAATTACCAAACAGTCATTGACAACTCATGATTATTTTTGTAACTAAGCTCTACATACATGATCTCTAACATTAGGTGAAGGATAGCTCATTATGTTAGATTGTACGTCATGAATCAGAAGAACTCTTTTCTATATCAAGCTAAAGTTCTTCAATTATAACTTGTTTAGATGATGTTAGCTGAACCGTTGAATAGTTTGATTGATTAATAACGAGGATGATTTTGCAATAGTTGTTTTTTGTTTGAAGCATTGTACTATAACTATAATAGTAAAAATTTTATAATTAGATACAATTAAAAATTCATGTTTTTGTTGCAAAATTAATTAATTTATGAATTTAATACGTAATTAAGTTAAATAATATAATATGAAATTAATTTCTTAAACTCTCTAAATCATAATGCATTAAAAGAAACTACTATTAAACCAAGTGTTAGTCAACAATGAAAACCAATAATTAAAAAGCGGACAAAATTATAAAAATTAAGGATTTTATCTTTTTTTTTTTTAGGAATAATTACTCAAAGGAAAAATATAACTGGATTTTTAAGTTATGTTCAAATCGACACTTAAGTGCTTTTTTGTTTGAAAAATAACTATAATGTCCCTAATTTATATTTTCGTCTCATAATCGAGTCATTCTGTTTAAAATATGAACTCTTCACCGTTAGTTAGATACGCTTTTTGAACAGAATATGCTCACTTTTAAATGAAACGAGTTCACTTTTTGGACGAAAGGATCCAATAATGAAATAAAACATAAGTTAGAGACATCTTAATTATTTCGTGAACATAAAGAAATTTAAGTGTCAATTTAGACCTAATTTAGGGATCCAATTATTTTTTATTCTTATTAAAATTTTTTTTGTCCAAAATTTCTGGGAGCCCATTGCCCCCCTTCGCCCCAGTGTACGTCCTTCCGTATATATACAAATAAAATTTTATAAAAAAGCAAAAAGAATATTATAAAAGTGCATTAAAAAATTAAATTTTTTTTTTAAAAAAAAAAAGAGAATCCTTAAAAGGTAAAGTGCCACATAATTTATATTATTTTTGTTTCAGAATTTTATATTATATTATTTTTGTTTCAGAATTTTATATATTATATATATTATATATATATATAATTATCTATATATATAATATATATTATATTATATAATTATAAGTTTTAAATTGACCATCAATCTAAATAAAGAACGGATCATTTTTCAAGTCTAATTAATATTTAATATTTAATATAAGGACGAGTGGGCAACCCTTCTTTCAAAACATTCAGGAAAAATGAACTTATCTCACGCACAAAATACCTAAAAAAAATTACTTTGTTTTTATCAAAAAAAAAAAAAAAAAAGAGCTCCATTTCCAGCTAGGTTGATTCAAAAAAAAAAATGTAATAAAATAAAAAAAATATATATGAAAGAGAAAGCCTTTCTTTGTCTTACTTCATTGACGTAGGCTTAGACGGTTCCTCCATAAAACTTTTGGTTTCTTGTTTGCGAAAATTTACCAAAATATAAATAAATTATTTTTCTTTCTTTTGCTTTGGGAGGTCCGTTAATCCAAGATGTGAATCCTTCTTAAAATACTGTGATAGTCTTCAAAAACGTAAATTGCAAAAAAAAAAAAAAAAAAAGAGCTCCATTCCAGCTAGGTGATTCAAAAAAAAAAAATGTAATAAAATAAAAAATATATATGAAAGAGAAGCCTTTTCTTTGTCTTAACCTTTCATTTGACGTAGGTTAGACGGTCCTCCATAAACTTTTGGTTTCTTGTTTGGAAAATACAAAATATAAATAAATTATTTTTCTTTCTTGCTTTGGGAGGTCCGTTAATCCACGATGTGAATCCTTCTTAAAATACTGTTGATAGTCTTCAAAACGTAATTGCATTGATCGATTAAATTTATATTTTATTATTTGTTTTGTCTTTTATTGTATTAATAGTCTGTTGTGTCATTTACATTAAGGGCGATTCCACTAATCAGGTTTTTAGTAACTATTAGTAAGTTGTTGTATTCCGTTTGTCTTTAAAAAATAGTTGTTAACCATCTTTTTGGGACGAAGGAAGTAATAATTATTAACTCCATCTGTCCCAAAATATAAGTATAGTAATTAACAAAATAAGTAATTTTCTTAAATTATATTTCTTCTGTTCCAAAATATAAAATGTTTTTGAGTACTTTACAAGTAACTATTGATTTTGAGATAAATGATAATTTAGTCGATTTATCATTAGTTTTGTTATAATCTAGAAGAATTAATTTTTCCTTAATTCTTATGCAAAAACCTTAAACAACAACTTATATTTTGAAACAGAGGAAATAATAAAGTTAAGGATGATTGAGTATAGTAATTACTACTAATAGTACTTCTTCTGTCCCAAGATATAAGTCGTTTAAGGTTTTTACACAAGTATCGAGAAAACAATTAATTCTCATAGATTATAACAAACTCAATGATAATTTCATCAAATTATCTTTTATGTCAAAATCAATAGTTACTTGTGAAAGTATTTATTGTATTTAATGTAAACAATGGTAACATTAAAAAAACATTATCTATTACTCTTTAAAATACTCAAAACGACTTATACTCCCTCTGTACTAAAACATAAGTCGTTTTTACTTTGTTATTTTGTCCCAAAATATAAGTCGTTTTGTATATTTTAAGAAGTAATAAATGATGTTTTTTCAATATTGCTCTCGTTTACACTAAATACAATAAATACTTTATAAGCAACTATTGATTTTGAGATAAAGAATAATTTGGTCAAATTACCTTTGAGTTATTATAATATAGGATAATTAATTATTTCCTTAATACTTGTGTAAAAACTTTAAATGACTTATATTTTTCAAACAAAAGGGATATTTTGGACCAAAGTAATCATTTAAAAACGATTTTTTTTTTAACAGACTGAGCAACGGATATCAAAATCTATTGATTAGTTACGGAATTATGTGCTAATTTCCCTTTATCTAATCATAATCCTATAATTAGAAGTGGGTAATTAATAGATTTTAGGAGTGTAACAAACTGAAGAAGGTGAACTAAAATTAAGTTGGTTATAACATCTTTCACATTCCAAGGGTAATATGTTAACAGGTGTGAGGCCGCTGCATAACTTCACATCCGAACATCTCCCATAATAATAATAAAAAACAACTAAAACAACCATTATTTATTGATTAATCAGTTTTCTAAATTAAAAAAAAAAATGAAAAAGATTGAAACTTTTTAGGGTATAGAATCAACTGGAACTCTCTCCTTCAATTTCTTTAACTCCAACCAATAAGCTTTAGCACTGTCAGAGCAACACTACCCACTTGGGCATACAAATGGCAGTTTTTGATTGGTTAAGTTAAAGAACCAATGATGCCAACCCAAATGGTGGGTGTTTAAAGGGTATGCAAAAGAGGAACCCAGTCCAAAACAGGGAAATAAGAATGATTAGTTAAATACTACTGTAGAATCAATCAAAAGGAAGGGAAATGTGTAAGCTTCTGTGTTGAGAGAGCTCCCCCTCTCTCTCTTTCCTTCTCTCTCCCTCTGTCTGTCTGTGTGTGTGGTGTTTTTTATATTTTTTTTTCCTTTTTCTTTTCTCTTTTCTCTTTTGTTCTTTCTTCCTTCATTCTTCAAAGATTCCATCCATTTCAGGTCCCCCACCATTTCCACAATCATCTCCTTTTAACCTTACTTTGTTTTTTCTTGGAGAAGTTGGGAAATGATATAATAGAATTATATTCTACTTTTTGTAATTTTCTCAAATCAATTCAAAATCATCATATCATTTTGGGCTAAAACAAAGAAGGGAGGGAGGGAGGGAGAGAGAGAGAGAGAGAGAGAGAGAGAGAGAGAAGGGAGGGAATTTGATAGGAAGAAGGTGTTTTAGCCTTTTCTATTTTTCTTAGACTGGAAAAGTGGGTCATTACCATTTTGGTTGGAATTGAAGAGAGATAAAAGAATCAAGGTTTGATTAAGGGTCTGAGTGTTTGGGTCTGGGTCAGGGTCAGGTTGGTGGTGGAGGTGGTGGTGGGTCTTGTTCATATCATCATCTTAACCTGGACTCCATAATCAATCAGGTAATCATTTTTAATCATTTCTCTCTCTCTCTCTCTCTCTCTCTCTGTGTTTGTTATGTTTGCTTCAAATCTCTTTTTGTTTTGTACATCTAAAATTTTGAATATTTTTTAATTAGTCTCTGACAACCATATCTTCTCTGCCAATTTAAGGTACCTAACTTTAGTTTCATTGCACAATTCTTTCATTATTATGAATATTTTCGTTTTGGTGGTTTAAAATTCTAAACTTTTTTGTTTCCTGGTTTTTCTTTTAAGCCTTAATAACTTAAATTTCCCTACTTATTTTCTTTCACAAAATATCATTTTTCTTTTTGACTGGATCCTGATGGGAAATATCAGCTTTCTATTTATATATATAAATTTGTGAAGGTTATCCTTTTCATTGGATTAATTTCCTTGACAAAACATCTTTAAATTGGAATGTTGTCTTTTATCATATTATGGATTGTTGCTACCTTTATACAGGTAACATAGGCTAACAAAAATGGAATTGGTTTGATTATTGTTACTATCTTCTCATTTTGGAAACTCATCCATTTGATTGGTCCATCATATTTCTTCATCTTTTTCTATTTTAGTTTTATTCCAACGAAGTGTGCATGTTTGGATGAAATCATTTAGCTGAAAACAAAGCTGAATTAGGTTCGAGTATATTTATAGATTGGATAATTTGAATTCTTTATTTCTGATTTGGTTTCTGATAATTTTTACTTACCTAAGCTATAGTTCTTCTTGTTAGTTTTTTTGGCTTGTGCAGAAGAAGAATTCAATTTATAAATATTACTCTCCTTTTCCCTTTTTTCCATATCCACTTTTCAACTACAAAATTTTGTTGATGGAATAATTTACTCTTTTTACTGTAAAACCTTCCAGGAATTCCACCATAGCCAACACCTTGACTTGAAGCTGTGAGACCTTTAGCTAAAATATATTGGTAACATGGCTGGGATTGATGATAATGTTGCTATAATTGGTGATTGGGTTCCTCCTAGTCCAAGCCCAAGAGCTTTCTTTTCAGCAATTTTAGGTGATGATATCAGTTCAAGAACAATTCCAGAACCTTTGAGGGATAATAGGACTGAAGGGTTCTTTCTAGGATCTCGAGAGCAGATGATGGAAGGAAATGCTGACGAAAAGGATGCAACACAATGTGGTGGTGCTCAGTTTTCAGAACTATCTCCATTTTCAGAGCAGAAATCCAGCTCTCGTGGAGGTCTTGTAGAACGAATGGCAGCCAGAGCTGGATTTAATGCTCCAAGGTTGAATACAGAAAGTATTAGGTCTGCTGAACTTTCGTTGAATCCAGAGATTCGATCTCCTTACTTGACAATTCCGCCTGGTCTCAGCCCGACAACCTTGTTAGATTCTCCAGTACTCCTATCAAATTCTTTGGTAAGTTGAGAATGCTGAAACTTCGTAGGCATCATTTGGTTGTCTCTTTAGCTTTGGAAGTAATAATCAAGTAATGAATGGAATGTGAGAGACAATAAGTAGCTCTAAAGCTCTACGGAAAAGCATAATACAGGTAGAAGCTTGAAAAATATGAGTAGAGTTTAAATAGCAATAATCAGGTAACAGGTCCATGGTTTAGGATTTTATGATTGATCTTTTTCACTTTGTCTGAGTTCAATGCTATAAATATACTATATAACATACACCTTTGCATGTTTGAGCTGCTGTAGAAAAATTGAAACAAAATTTACTTATTCTTATATTGCAACTCAATAAATAATTTGTACTAAGGTTGTTCTTTATCATAAGTATCCTTTTAAATCATCAGTATCTTGAATCTTTTAATCTTTGCTTTTGCTGGGTGAATATTGTATTGTAGCACTACTAACCTTTGTTGGCTTGTTCTGCAATGTGCTAAATGCTTGCTTCTGAACCTTTAATTCAGGCTCAGCCATCTCCAACAACTGGAAAATTCTCATTTATCCCTAATGGAAACAGTAAGATCTCAACTTTGGTCTCCGAACCTGGTGATAAAAGTAAAGATAATTTCTTTGAGGACATCAATGCATCTTCATTTGCATTCAAGCCTATTCCTGACTCAGGATCCTCTTTTTTCCTCAGCACAACAAACAAAGTAAGTATATAGTCAGTGTTGCCTTTGTCAGTGTTGTTGGAGTTATAATTAGGAAATTAATACACCTTCAGATGATTTTTTTTTTTTTTTTCATGCTTTTGGTAAATTTCAAATATTGAAACTGCCCACACCTGATGAGTACTAAGAGGTGGCATCCCACTAGAAATAGTTAATTTGGTGTAAATGAAAGGGCACAACAGTTAATTTGTTTGTTAAGAAATGTTTGCCTTTGCATATAGATAATTCAAGCCATTCTTCTGCAGCAATCATTTCCTAGCATTGAAGTTTCAGTTCAGTCTGAAAATCCCTTTCCATCTCATGGTGTAGAGCCAACCAAAGTCCAGTCTCAGAATAGGAACACCCTCCAAGTGCCATTGGACTTCTCTAGATCAACAACTGAAAAGGATAATGGAGGTAACACTATAGCAACGGATAGAAGAGTGTTTGATATTGTTGGTGGCAGCGCTGAACAATCTCCACCTCTTGATGAACGACAAGATGAAGGAGACCAAAGAGTCAGTGGAGATTCTATGGCTTGTGGTGGTATTGGCACACCATCTGAAGATGGATATAACTGGAGAAAGTATGGACAGAAACAAGTAAAGGGCAGCGAATATCCACGGAGTTATTACAAATGCACACATCCAAATTGTCTAGTCAAAAAGAAGGTTGAACGCTCTCACGAGGGTCACATAACAGAGATAATATACAAAGGAGCTCACAACCATCCCAAACCTCCGCCCAACCGGAGGTCAGGCATTGGATCATCGAATCCACTCATGGATGTGCAACTTGATGTTCCTGAGCAAACAGGACTACAGAGTGGTATAGATAATGATCCTGCATGGGCAAGTGCACAAAAGGGAACTGCTGCTGGAACTCCTGATTGGAGACATGACAATGTTGAGGTGACATCTTCAGCATCTGTAGGTCCTGAATTTGGCAATCCATCTTCCTCAGTTCAGGTTCAAAATAGTAGTCACTTTGAATCAGGTGATGCAGTTGATGCCTCGTCTACCTTTTCCAATGAGGAAGAAGATGATGATCGGGCTACACATGGCAGCGTAGATTATGATGGTGAAGGAGATGAATCTGAATCAAAGAGAAGGTTAAGATTACATTTATGTATATATAGATAGATAGATATGAATGGTGCCTGGCTTGACATCAATATCAATTATTTATTGTTTCAACAATGCAGGAAAATTGAAAATTACCCAACTGACATTGGAGGAGCTACAAGAGCTATCCGTGAGCCTAGAGTAGTTGTCCAGACTACAAGTGAGGTGGATATCCTTGATGATGGATATCGCTGGCGCAAATATGGGCAGAAAGTTGTCAAAGGAAACCCAAATCCCAGGTGACTAACATTAATGCCATTACTATTGACCATTTTTACCAATGAGCTAAGTAAAGTGTCATATCCAAGTTGCTAGGTTGCAAATTTAAACCCCAGTTAGCACCAAATTAAAGGAAGAATATGATAACCATTTTGTCATATTTTTGTGCCCCTTAATTCATTTCTCTTCAATTCTTTTGATTGCACAGAAGGCTGCTTCTTTCCATTTACTGCTGCAACATAAAACTGAGTGTTTAAATGCCCATTTATCGCAGGAGTTATTACAAGTGTACTAATGCAGGCTGCACGGTGAGGAAACATGTGGAACGGGCATCACATGACCTTAAGTCAGTAATCACTACATATGAAGGTAAACACAATCATGATGTTCCTGCCGCTCGAAATAGCAGCCATGTTAACTCCGGCGCCTCTAGTACCGGACCTGCACAAACTGGCACAGCTATTCAAAACAATGTTCACAGGCCTGAACCAGCACAAGTCCACAGCAGCATGACTAGGTTTGATAGATCTGCTGTATATGCATCCTTCAGCCTCCCAGGAAGGCAGCAGCTGGGGCTAACCCCTGGCTTCTCTTTCGGAATGAATCAACCGCCAGGCTTAGCCAATCTGGCTATGGCTGGATTGGGTCCGGGCCAACCCAAGATGCCTGTCATGCCTGTTCACCCTTATTTAGCACAACAACGTCCACTGAATGAAATGGGGTTCATGTTGCCAAAAGGAGAACCAAAAATGGAGCCAATGTCAGAACCCAGCTTGAATCTTTCAAACAATCCATCAGTGTATCAGCAAATCATGAGTAGGCTGCCACTTGGACCACAGATGTAAATTTTTATTCTTTTCACTTATTTTTATCTTCAAATCTTAATTTGTTATTTGCTATTATTAATTTTACTTTTGTTGTGAGGAAAATAGAAATATTTACATCTTTATTATATATATATATAGATTGGCATTTCATCAGTGTCTGGCCATTTGCAAAGCATCTCTAATGTTTTACTTACATGGATATCTAGAATCCAGACTCTTAAACTAAGTTCTCTCACAAAATCTGTTAAGCGTATCTCATCTTTAATAAGGGTTTAGGGCTTTTGTATTTTGACTTTGTTATCCACCCTAGGGCTGAAACTAGAAAAAATTATTTGAGGGTGCAAAACAAAATTTTTTAAAACTTTTGATGGTTCAAAAATATAAATTCAACATAATTTTCCATAAAAATTTCTTGGTGGTGGAGCGGCCCCTTTAGGGCTCCACCTCCACCTAGTACCGCCTCTATTGTTATCCCCACTGCAGCTGCGCATGGATAAAGACATAAAGTTAGTTCAGATTAATCAATTTGAAATACTCATGATGGTCCATGATTTTTTTTTTTTTTACCTGACTCACACCATTAAATATGTAAAATCAAGCGCTTTAGTGAATATTTGCTCTATTTATGAGAATCAGATATCGACTTCACTTAATGCTAAAAATATCAAACCACTCATTCTAATTGTAATTTGAGATATCAACGTAATCGGTGGACTATTTTTTATAATAGAATTTATATCTTTTTAATGTCGCTTAAATTTACAATTACCCCCAATTTTGTATTTCAAACTTAATTTGTTGGATATATTAACACCTAATAATTTTTGGAACATTATTTGTAGAGCAGATTTTATTAATGTCAGAGCAATAAATATTTTATAATGTTAAACTAATTTAATTGTCTCCTTACTAACGTAATCAAAGATCTAACTGAATGTTTGCAAAATGCATAAATTCATCTTTATATTTTAACAAAAGATCTATTAGATCCTTAAAGTTTCGAATTATGAATATTAATGATTTCAAGGTAAATTCTTGACGAATCACTGATTGTGCAGCAGGGCTTAACTTGTCTCCATGAGTTCCAAAACGCTAATGTTACCATTTGGATCGAGGATGTTCCTCCTTTTATTTTGCCTTTTTGTTATGTTTGGATTCTTTCTTTTAATATAATCATTTATTTCCTAAAAAAAAAACAAAAAACAATAATTGTATTTTGATTTTTGATTTTTATATGTAAAGTATTTAACATAATATGAAACAATGGTAAGATCTGAAAATACAAAATAGAAGCAAGAATTAAACCTCCTTAAGGTGTTGTGATAGATTAACCATGCCAAAGAATTTTGTTGCATCATTTCCAGGAATTCAACCATCACCATCTAAAATCAAACAATAATAAATGTAGAAAAAAGATAATAAAAAGACGTAAATGGATGGTCTACCCATCAATTTCACCCTGAACTTTTCAAGCATTTGCAATTTCAGCCTAAATCGACATGTCTGAATGTTCATGAATCATGGAAATTAACCACTCAGAAATAGATCTTTGATTCTCTTTAGGACAAGAACAGAATGATCCTGAAGACATTTCCATAATCTCAAGTGAAACAAATGTTTATGTGTCTACTTTTAGTGTTCGAGAGAGAAATAGCTGTCGGAGAATTTGAGGATTTAATTTTTAAACGAAACATTTAACATTAAAATCTCTGTTTAATTTAATAAAGGCAGTTAAGTCAGTTTAATGCTATAAAAGCTTTTTTACTCGGACATTACCAATATCTATTCTTTTTTTTTTTTTTTTTTTTAAGTATGAAACAATGGTAAGATTCGTGAAAATACAAAATAGAGCAAGAATTTAAACCTACCTGTAAAGGTGTGTTGTGATAGATAGAGCCATGCCAAAAGGGAAAAAAAAAAATTTGTTGCATCATTTCCAGGAATTCAACATCACCATCTTAAAATCAAACGAATAATAAATGAGAAAAAATGATAATAAAAAGACGTAAATGGATGGCTACCCATCAATTTCACCCTGAACTTTTCAAGCATTTGCAATTTCAGCCTAAATCGACATGTCTGAATGGGTTCATGAATCATGGAAATTTAAACCACTCAGAAATAGATCTTTTGATTCTCTTTTAGGACAAGAAAACAGAATGATCCTGAAGACCATTTCAAATCTCAAGTAAAAAACAAATGGTTTTTAAAGTGTGTCTACTTTTTAGTTGTTCGAGAGAGGAAATAAGCTGTCGGAGAGATTTGAGGAATTAATTTTTTAAACGAAACATTTAACATTAAAATCCTCTGTTTAATTTAATAATGCAGTTAAAAGTCAGTTTAATGCTATAAAAAAGCTTTTTTACTCGGACATTACTCAATATCTATTCTTTTTTTTTTTTTTTTTTTAAGTAATTTTTTTTTTTTTTTTTTTTTAAGTAAAAAATTTCTTAATTTGATAATTTTTAGTGCCAGGAGCTACTAAATTTTTAGAATCGCAACTGTGATATACTTACTAGTTCACCTTTACCCAATTACATCAAATAAATCAGGCTTAGATTGAGATCCATGAATGACCCGACCCATAAGCTTGACAAATTCACTATGACAAGGTTTTCCCATCAACGATAATTGGATACAACAATTATGAGTAACCAGTTCACTTCTAGACATTGATTTGGACATTTCATTCCTACATTAATTCACCCAAGAATTTGGAAAATTCCAAGCCTTTGCTCGTCCGGCGAAGGCGATTGTGCATCTAAATTAACTGCAAATTGCAATTTGCATACTTAACTGTTAGGATAATATCAAACACATCCATCCATTACTACTAAGAATTTATCTCATTAGACCTAAAATGTTGATATCATCGCTACTCAGCAGCAAATGAAATAGATTTCATATGGATTTATTCCAATCGGTACGTAAAAGCTTGTTCAAATTTTCACAAATAATTCAGATTAAACACAACAGAAAACAAATGAATACTTTAAGGCTAACAACATTTTTTAATAGTTAAAACTCTATGTTGCAATCAGATTTTTGAACGATCACCAGAGAACTTTAGGCTTAGGCTAAATCAGGCAAGAGATTCCCATTCGCACAAGAACTTAACTTTGATTCAGCTATAAACAGGTATTCTTTTTCTTTTTCTTTTTTTTACTAATATTGAAATGCTACTAACAACTACATATACAAAATTCAACTTGCTAAACTACTAATGTTAGATAATGGCAAAATGTGTCAAATGGTATTTTAATTTCAAAACCTTCCGAACAAAAGATGTGTGCATACCTGTCATTCAAGAACTATGACGAACTAATTCCAAGATGAAGATGACTGATTTGATAATCATTTCTCTTTCAACCTGTCCTTTACAGGGCTGGTCCAAAGGAACTTGAAATTTGACGAGAACTTACATCAACAAATTAATGGCTGCTTTCAATCATCTTATCAAGACGATTTTCTTTTCTGTGCTGAAAGATGGACTTCCGTCGAGCCAGCTCCTCTCTGCAGAGACAAAAGAACTCTCAACCTAACAGAAAAGCTTTACAAAATGCAAATATTTCAGACATTAAAATCACAAATCAGGTCAAAGGAACAATGAGAACAGAATCGTGCAAATCCATCTCTGTCAAAAAACACGATTTTCTAGTGCAGGGTTAATGACAGATTGTCTATGGAACAGAGGAGCATCTACAAAATCAACTTATTCCAACACATGAATCAAAACGTATAAAACAGGTAATAAATGAGATTAAGTTTTTGCATTTCATTCCCAAAAGCAAGTGGTAAAATTATCGACAAGTTTCCATCTGCATGCCCTCAAAAACTTACCTACAACCTTGCTAGTTAGCAGAAATGAAAAATAACCACATGTAGCATGCCATGCTGATACCAAATCCTTGAATTGAAGCAAGAAAATGAAACATGTTTCTGTGTGCACGAGAGAGAGAGAGAGAGAGAGAGAAGAATCATCAGTATGAAGTTTCTCGGGGCCGGTAGGAACATATACGATGAAGTATGAACTTCTGATATGGTGATATGTAGGTCAACTGTGAAAAATCTGAGTAAAAGCCAAGTCATTTGACCACCTCTCCAGCTTTCTTGGTTTATTTCATAAAATATCATTTTAACTGATAAGCACCAGAGCAGTGGTTGAGGCCACACAGGATAAAACCATCCCATCAAAAAAAGAAACTAAAGATTGACAACTGCACTTCTGATAATATTAAGATGAATTTCAAAGCTGTAAGTTTTAGAGAATTTGAAATCAGGAAGCAGAAATCAATAGTGAAAAAAAGAAAGTTATATGGTCTACTTTTTGTGAACAAAAAACTATTACAAACCTGAGACAATTCTGAATTGAATCGTAATGAAGAAGAGCAACAATTCTTCGCTTCCTTTCTTTCCAGGAGCCTCTGTAACGCTTAACAACAGGTAACTGCTTGATCCCTTTGGCCTCCATTAGCTCCTTTGCAATAGCCAAATCAGTTTCTGGATAGCATGTCAAAAGTCCACGACCTTGACCTCTGTAGCTTATCCCCCGGGTACATACAGATGAAACAAGACAGGTACTTGCCTGCACTAAACAGTAATAAACACCTGAATATCATTCATGAGTGAAAAAGATGTAACATTAAGCAGCAAAAAGATAATAAAAGATGCAAGGCACAGGAAGAGAGTGAGGGAGAAGAGGAGTGATGATAATTTGCAAATAGGAATAGAAAATGCAACATCATGTTCAGTAATGAAGACAAGAAGCATTCAATTCATAAACCATAAGGAATTTAAGCACCATCTTTACATACATCTGTTATTGTCGAATCAACTGCAGAAGCATCATCAGACTTATTAGACAGCCGTCTAATGTCACCATAAGTTAGTATTCCCTCCAGTAAATCTTCACCATCAACCACAAGTACACACTTCTGCTTGCTGTTATGCATACAATCTACAGCTTCTTCTATCGTTGAGGCTACTGAGACCTTTATATAGTTCTTTGACATGGCCCTAGAAACCTGGCAACAAACAGGGACATTTTGCCCTAGTTAGACCACAAAGTGAATGCAATAAAAGCTAGGGAAAAAATAAAGGAAATATTAGATAATTAATGATGAGCAGGAAAGAGTTTAAACCTTCAGATCTTCCAAAACTGAATCTTCATTTATTGCTTCCTGATCATGAGCATTATCTATTACAGAAAGTTCTAGATCATCTCCACCATCAATTCTTCTCCAGACTTCATTTTTGTCTTCAGTATTTGAAAGAGAAGAATATCCCCTTTTCAAACCACGCGTATCAGATGCTTCAGTCTCCTTCGCCTGATTGGTCACAGAAGGAACCCATATCGCTAATCCAACAGCTCCCTACTTGCAAGTCAATATTAACATAAGAAAATATTTTAACTTCATGAAGATATGATATGGCATATAATATAATAAGCCTACTTGATACAGAATAATCAAAAACAAGAGCAACATAAAGAAAGAAGACAACAGAAAAATAAATGGAAAAATAATTAAATGGAAAAATGTATCCAATGTTGAAAATATTGAACGAAAGATTGATAACTAAGATTTCCATTTTAAATCAAGCTACCATAACTGCAAGTAATTTGATCTCCAGTATGATTCTTATGCATGTACCACACATGCCTTTGGATTGCAGAGATTGATATTATTATGAACAGTAAAACGCAGATCATGCATATAATATTCACCATGTTAATTTTGAAGGAACAGTGTCACTCACAGTAAGTCTGCAAAGGATGAGAAATTGTAGGAGACCAGACAGAAAAAGTGGCAATGTTTTTTCGACAATACAGTGCACTGCCATAGGATCCAATGGTTTTTTTTTCCGACCAACAGATCGAATGGATTGATCAATATCAAAACCATCTCGTTTCTATTATTCCAACATCCATGGCATGTGATACATAACAGAAAGACAAAGCAAGTCATGATGATGGAAAAAATTATCAATTAGACCATTTCCAAGTAACAGAAGCATTTCAGTTCCTGACCTGATTTTGCAACCTTACAGCCTATAGATATCACATGGCAAACAATGAACGAAATTGTAAAAAATTACCATGAGGGGGAGGATTATCATGTAGTCCTTTGTCAACTCAAACAGAAGTAGAACTGAAGTCAATGGCACTGAACAAACTGAAGCTAATGTAGCAGCCATTCCAACCTACATGAAAATATATTTTATTTAATACGGAACAAAGATTCAGACTATGCCTTTAACAAGAGATTAACAAATATCAAGAGTCATATGTAGAACAAGTTGTAGCAGGAACAGAATACTTTACCAACGCGTATGCCTGTGGCTGAGCAACTGCTGCATTTCCAGGAATGGCTGAATTGATAACTTCTGCAGCTGAACCCCCAAATACAGCACCCACAGCAGCACCAATCATCAAACTTGGTGCATAGAGACCACCTACAAGTCCTGAACCTTTGCATAGTGCTGTAGCCACAACTTTGGCTACTGCTAGTTGGGTTAACAACCAGATTCCTGGAGCTGAAGCACTTTTTCCAGTATGTAAAATTTCTTCAACATTTGTGAAACCCCAGTATAGTATCCCAGGATACCTGAGTGCAATTATCCCAGCACCTAAACCACCTAAAGCAGGACAAACTATAGCCGGAAGGGCAAATTTTTCCTTGATAAAGTCAAATAACTTGGTGAACCAAGAGACCAAGCGAGTAAAGGCCACACTTACAACACCACATAGCATGCCCAAGATCAGGTACAAAGGTAATTCTGCAAAGCAATTGCAAACATATGAGAAGAGAGAGAGTGGAAGAAGAACATAACATACAGTGACATTAGATAATTCACTCAAGCTCCAAATTTCTTGCTGCATACGTCTTACAAGATCTCAATCAGTTCTTTTTTTTTTTTTTTTTAATCCCAAACAAAGTGGGGAAGGGAAAGAGAGGAAGAGGAAGAGGAAGAAGAACAAGAAAAATCTCAGTTCTCCCATAGTGCCAAAAGCATATCTAGTTTCATACTGATTTCATCAATGTACATACACAACTTTTTCACATTGCTACACCATATTAGGAAGACAGCCAGTGACCTCAAAGTAAGTAGGATCTCTGCATTACAGAAATGCCATTCAAGGACTAAAAAATGACTTAGTTGTTAACAGATGGAATAATTATTTATTCTTACAAGCGTTTGAACATAAAAAAAAAAATTCAACTACATGCACTCAGCTAGAATTTCTTTCCAACAATTAAAAGGACCAATTTACAAAAAAAATAAAAAAAAATAAAAAAAAAATATTGCATAACATCTAAACCTCACTCTATTCATCTTTCTCACTTCTTTCTCTTTTTTTTTTACCCTCCAATATCTTTTGTCTTTTTTCTAAAAATAAAAATAAATAAATTTCCCTCAACATTTCTTCTATTTTCAAGAAAAATTTCAATGGAAGTGATTGAGAATGTAACAAAGAGAGAAAGAGTAAAATTGAGAGACATGAAAGGGGTGGAGAAGCAACTAAAATGGTCCATTTTAGTATTCTGTGCACCTACTTGAAAAAAGTTTCTCCGTTTAGAGACTGATTGTAAAACAAAAAAACAGTTCATCTGAAATTGAAAATTGAAAAAATTCTGATACCAACAATGTAAGTCCCCCTTAAAAATTAAACCAATGATATTTCCGAAAAGGCTGGAGAGTAAAGTATCAAGCAGATGCATCCATGCACTAAAAACTGTGGCAACCAGGCACATAAACACAAATGTTAGACACACAGAAGTGAAACATATAAAACAAATAAGTTAGAAGTAATACCAGCAGCAGATTTCAAATCATATGGTGGCACTGTAAAAGCTGATTGTGTACCAAGTAAAACATTTGAAACTGTTGATGATATAACAGAAGCCAATATTATCATTGCAGTTGTAAATGGAGGCGAATTTTCTGCACGGCGAGGCCTTAACACAGTTTCGATGGCAAAGAAACAACCAGCAACAGCTGCATTAAAACCTGAAGCGGGAAAAGATTGAGAGTCATACAAAAAACTTCAACAATAAATTTTAGAAACAGAAGCAAGAACCATTATTACTGCATAAGGAATTCAACTAAGTCAGCTGTCTAGTTTATTTTTCAAAAAAAGAAAACCTTACAAACACATCCTTGGTAAAGATGATCTAATCTAAACAGAAAAATGGAACACCATATTTCTAACTTAGTGTTTGGTAACACCAAAAATTTAAGAGCTGAATTTTAATTGTTACATAATGAACATGCTAAAATTTCTGAAATGCAAATTTATTACAAGCCAAATGACTTATATCCAGTGTGAATTTTAAGTTAGAACTTTTTATTTGTTATTTCAAGTGAATTTTTACATAATATTTAGAGAAGTGTTACCAAACAACAAAAAAATTAAAAGCTACTAAACAGTGTTGATTCGTATTGCTTGTTAAAGCAAAATAATAAAATCAGGGAACAACATAATTCTCAGGCTCCCTATTCACCAATCCTTCTGGTTTTTCCACTTTATGCTTTAACAAGGCTGAAATGCATAAATTACTTTGGAAATTGTTAACAAAACTCACGACGAAGGTCAGATGTAGTGGTGGTGATGGTGGTTAACAGGTTGGTTCATTTTGATCACTTAATGATATAACCCATAGCCTTTAATTGCAGGTGGGTATGGTAGATACATTGATGCGAATCAAATTGGCTATCTCTATTCAGAGCAGGGAGGGAAATCCCTTATTTTCTCTCCACTAAGTAAAGATGAGGATATCCCAAGCGTCCTACCTCACGCCCCAAAATCCAGTTGGGACCCAGCTAGAGCCAGGGAATGGCTCCATTACCCCACTCAGTTGTCATTTCTATGTCAAAACCGAGAAGAAGGAAACTCATGCTCAACCTTGTCTTTGCTGTTGGTGTTTGTGGTCCTATGGAGAAGTAAATACCCTCTATCCAATAGGCCATAAAGAATAAAATATTTCATACCTACAAGCTCGAAAAAATATTTGCAGACATGTCCTTTGCTGAAAAATTAATTTGCAAAGAGGCCTACAATCAGCTGTTCTTTGGGGTTAAAAAAGAAATAGCATGACTGAAGTTAGTAAAAAATGATTTCGTAAAAGAATCCACTTAGCGGTCTTCGGGACTAAAGCTTGTTTGAGTTTCCCTCTCCCTCCACATGTGTCTTACCATCTTGATATTATCTCCAAATAAATGTTGTCTCTCACTTGCCATCATTTTGCTTTTCTGAGTCAAACTGTGTCACTTTTAAAATTGCATACACAGTCTTTCTACTTTAACTCCTTCGTGAGTCACGTCTTTCAATAAATAAGTGATTATTTTAAAGGGTTTTTTTATGTATTACATTTTACTATTCGTTCTCCTTTTTACTTAAGGGAAAGAAACCTCTACCATTCTATCAAAAGGACCCAAAACTTTCACACATGATAGAGCTCGATTATCTTCAGGGTATGTTTCAGGATTTTGTCTATAATAATTAATCTCCCTTTGACAATGATAGGTAAACCTCCATATTCCTATTAAAATGATAAAATTCATCTTTTTTTGGTATACTGGGATTTTTAGTAAAGGTGGGTTATCAAGATTCAAACTCTTGACCTCTTACATCAAAGACAATCACTGAATCACTATCCTACAGCTCAATGTCTTAAAATTACAAATTTAATAGTTAACAATTTTATATTTTGCAATCACTGGCCATCATAAACTTGAATGACATAACGTAGCCTCATGATTGCTGTGCTTGGACATTAAATGGCTATATGTTGGCTCTTGGAAAAGAAGGAACACATGGGAATGCATATAATTTTACACCAAATCAGCAACGTAATGTATTTCTTCTGAAATAGCACTTCCCGGATATAAATAAATCAAGACCAATTTCGACATGAAAAGCATAGATACCTGAGGCAATCCCAGCCGCTGCACCAGCTGCAACAAGAGCAATCTCCCTCTCTCTGTTGTTTTCCATCATCAATAACAATCCATTGGCACATGATGTTCCAATATCTACACTAGGACCTTCAGGACCCAAAGAACAACCAGTACCCAGAGTAACAGCAGCCTGAATGGCCTTTATTGTGGGGAAGACTCCCGCAACCAAATCAAGACCTTGTCTTTGGGAAGGACTGCTCTGCCTTATTTGGTTTAATATTTCCACTAAGCCATGCATCATTCCAACAATTACTCCACCTGTTACTGGTATCAAAAGAATCCGATGCCAAGTGTCAGCCAACCTCTGTAGACGAAACCATGCAGCACCCTCATTAGGAGTCCCAGCCCAGGCCCATTCATGTATCACATGAACCTAGATATGCAGTGTGAAATGTCAAAATATGAAAAGAATGTAATTGGAGTAGCATATAAAGTGGTAGGAACAAAGACAAGCCATCTATGCAGGAAGCAAGAGAGAAAGAAAGGCAAACACAAAGCAACAGCAGTGGCATCAGCATCAATCAAGTAATTTAATTAAAAACTAGAAGACGCATACTCTACCCTGCACGTGCAATATGAGAGAAGTTTGAAAAGCAATTTCTTTTATTTTCAAAAACCTTCTTTTACATAAATCATCAGCATTTTTAAAGCAAAACTTATGCAGCAGGTACAATCCATAATACATAAAGTCTGATGGGACTGAAAAAGAGGGCAGAAGCCCTATATTAACAAGTATATCGGGAGGACAACTACAACTACAACTACAACGTTAATGGCAACTGAGAAGCATGCCAACTTATTTTCAGTAAGGGATAAAAGCTAAAGCTGTATAGCATCAGTAAACAAGGATAAGACGCTACTAATCAAAAACCAACCCCCATAAAAAAATAGGCAAATCATGTACAAAATGAGCTGGGGTATATAACAAGAAACTCTAATCAATGAAATTAAGTGCCTTGAATTCATTGATCAAATTGATGAAGCAAAGGAAATGAAATTGATAGTCTCAGATGCAAAACCAACTTAACAAAAATAGCTAGCAATTGAAATAATTTCAGATATAACATATAGTAAGAAATAAGAACTAACCCCTTTATTAAAAGCAGCTACACAGAGACCAGAGGCGAGACCAAGCAGACAACCAATGAGAAGTAACACCCATTCTGGAGGTGCGCTATCTCCAAGAACATCATCATTAGCATCATTATCGTGATAATCATGGTGATGCTGATATTGATGATGTCCACCCTCACGATTATGATTATGAGAATAGTCTCTATTACTCTCTCTACCATTCTCTTTATCAATACGCTTGAAACTGGACAGACGGCGACCGGAAAACCCTCGATCCAAATGTTTGAGGAAGAGATCTTTAATAGCTCCGCCTCCTCCTCCTCCTCCTCCTCCATGACTACTACCACTCGTACTGGTAATGGCTTGCCCTTCCAAGTCCTCGCCGCCATCGTCGACATCTCTCAATGCCAATAGAAGATTTTCATCGCTGTATTCACCCTCATCTTTTCCTGCCATTCTGTTTGTCTATCTTCCTCTGTATCACCAAATTCTAATAACATCTATCTCAACGAAATTGAAAAATTCTATGCGTGATTTGTTTGGTCAGCTTCTACTGAGATTCAGATGACAAAAAGGAGAGGAGAAGGATTGAATATGGAAGCGCGTTTGGTTGCACTAAAGATCCCAATTCCCAAACAATTCATCATTTCTCAAGTTTTCCATTCCTTCCAAATGCAACGACCAACACCCTTTTTTTTTTTTACTTTTTAATTTTTTTAATTAAGCACTTTAGGCATAGTAACCGGCGGTTCAAAATATTTTTTAAAATGTTTGATTTGAACCGGCTTTTGAATCGTTAGTTTCGGTCCAATTTCAGTTTCAGCTGATTCCAGTGCAGTTTTGATGATCGAAGGTTGCGATCAAGGTTTTCGACGATAGATGTTTTTATTAAAAAAATAATTAGTGCTAACATTATATTAGATGGTTTTATTAAAAAAAATAATTAGTGCTAACGTTATATCTTTCTTTCGAAAATATTAATATGAGTTTAAAAAATAATTGGTAAATTTTATTTTAAATAAATTTTAGAATGCTCATACTCATATAAGAATAAAATTAATTAATTTTACAAACATTATTATTAGATGGTTTTATTAAAAAAAAATAATAGTGCTAACGTTATATCTTTCTTCGAAAATATTAATATGAGTTTAAAAAATAATGGTAAGATTATTTTTTAAATAAATTTAGAATGCTCATGTATCATATTAAGAATAAAATTAATTAATTTTACAAAATAATTCAAATAAGATTATCACTTTATTTTTGTTAAATGTTATTAATTAAATAAATTATAATAAATTTGAAAAATGCTTCAAAAGAATAGTTAATTTTAAACTTAGTAGAACAAAATTTTGAAAAATGCTTCAAAAGAATGTAATTTTAAACTTAGTAAACAATTTAAAAGGGTAAAAAAAAAAAGAGTTAAAAACAATCTAAGTTTAGACTAAATATTTTTCTTTTTTTTTATCATTTTACTTTTTAGATTTTTAACTTTTAAAGTAAAGTGTATTTAAAAAAAAATATTTAAGTAAAGTATATCATGTAGTAAAATATTATTTAGACTTTTAGATATGTATAAAATATGTTAAGTGATTATCATTTTGAAAATAAAAATAGAAAATTTTCGGTTCGAACTGGACCATAACCTCCAGTTAACCATCGGTTCAGGACCGATTCAGATTAAAATTTTAACATTCACATGAATCTTAACCGGCCCTTGAACTGTCGATTTTGATTCAAAATTTTGAACCGACAATTTCGGTTCAATTCTGGTTCATCACAATACGATTTGATTTCGATTCGATTCCGATTCAAAATGAACCGGTGGTCATGCCTACACTTACTGAATGTCTGAATCATATTGTACGCTAAAAATAAAATATGAATTGCAATTTATGTCAAAATATATTTAAATTTAAATATAAAGTATAATTTAACACGTAATATTATATAACTACGCCGGTCCGTGGAATTTACAATTTTATGTTAAAAAAATCTAAATAGTATTATTGTTTAATTTTTTTTAATATAATCCTATGTAATGCACATTTATATTTTTTAATTGTAAATCATTATAGAGGGAACCTTCAAAAAAATCATTATAGAAGGATATTTTTTAGCAAAAAAATTAAACAAGAAATATAGTTTAACTATATTAATAAATTTTTCTTAATCCATGTGAAAATAAAACTAAATTTATATATATATATATTATATATTGGGACCGAGATGTTACTTATTGTGTCAGTTGTCATGGGTTTATTAGTTATTGGAGGAAGAAAATTGAATAGTATGGGACCGAAGAAGTACTTATTGGTCAGTTGTCATGGTTTATTAGTTATTGGAGGAAGAAAATGAATAGTTTTACAATTTAGTTTCTTAAAATTAGATAACCAAATGAAAAGTAATGAAAAATTTAAAAAATAATAAAAGCTATATAAACAACTAAATTTCATAATATTGTGCCGTGACATCAAACATAATTCAGCTTTTGTATATTTATATAAATATATTTATATAGATAGATAGATAAATAAATAATTTAACAGAATATTTTAATTGTCTATTTGTAAAGTGTTCTTTAATTGCTTTTGAAGATCAAAGAGTAATATTTTCTAATTTTATTTTAAATACAATAAATTATTGAGATTTATAATTAATTGAGATAAATAATAATTTAGTTAAATTAATAAGTATTTTGTTATATAAAGATAATTTAATTGTTTTATTAATTACCATGTAAATACCTTAAACAACCAAAAGAAATACCCTCCATCCCATTTTGTTTGCATGATTTGACAAAATATGCATACTAATAATTTAGTCAACAAAAGTCATTTTGCCCTTCTTTTACTCTTAACTCGTTAAGATATTAATAACAGTCATTCATTTAATGAACAATCATAAAAATTATTATGGAAAAAATAATTATTTATATATTTAAATTTAAAAACCTTGCAAATATTTTAGGACATCCAAAAAAATGAATAATAAGCAAATAAAATGGGACGGAAGGAGTAATTTTTTCTTTTGTTTAAAGAAATAACAAATTGATTAACAAAGAAGAGATAAATATTCCGGATAAAAACTTTTTTTTTTTTTCAAATAGAACAACTAACTTTTTACAATGTATTATTTGCAATTTTGTTCTTTCAAAAATTTGCTGTATCTAACACACATTGAAGAGTTTAAAATATAAGAGGAACAAATTTGCACTACCAAACTCCCTTAATAGAAGATTATTATCCAAAAAATTTAAAGTTTCTAATTAAAAATAATCCAAAAAGTAAAATATTTTTACCGAACTTAAAAGTCTAAAATCTCTAGCTAAAAATAATCAACAATCCATGTGTATTTTGAACTGCCAAAAAGATAACACACATGAAAAATCTATCAATAAGGGTAGATTTGAAAAACTAAATTAAAGATCTATTTCAAAATACAAATCTTGAAATTTATTGAAAAAAAAAAAGATTGTGGTAACAAGTCTTATTCTTAACCCTACGTGGCTTTCCAATTCTGGTTGAATAATTAAATTATTGCAAATTTACATACTTTTTAATAATATTTTAATTTTAATTTAGTATCAATTTATGCTGTTTAATTTTCTATTTTGGTGTCTGAACGAAAAATGATAACGACTGAATGATTAAAACATTTTAAAATTTGCAATTGCGTGTCTCCGGCTAAGTTGGCTAACCAGAAATCTGACGTGCAATTATGGGACCCATATTTTTTGGCATGTGATTGCTGACATGTACAAAAACAACTCCACATTTGCCTACCCTTGTTAGGGTCATGGTGAATGCAGCATGGAGATTTATGGCCTACCCTTGTTTCTCTCAATTTCTTCCGATGGAGCCAGGATCAGACCACACCCCGATTATCACTTCTCTTATTTCGACAGCTGGTGCAGGGTATAAACCATTTAGGTTTTTTAATATGTGGATTAAGCACACGGATTTTCATAACATTGTAGCAGATTGTTGGAGTCAACATGTTCATGGATCGGCACAGTACATTATTTGCTCCAAACTCAAATTTCTTAAGTCCCCTCTTAAAAGGCTTAATAAAAATGAGTTTGGAAATATTTCCGAAAGAACAAGGTGTGCAGTGGATGATTTCAAAAGTGCCTATGAGTCTCTTCAGTTGGATCCCACGAATATTGCGCTGTTGGAGTTGGTGACAGAAAAGCGAAGGAAGGCGAGCTTTCTTGAAAATGCAGAGTGCCTGTTTTATAAGCAGAAAGCAAAGTGTGACCATATTATGAAGGCAGACAAATCCACCAAGTATTTTCATTCCATTGTCAAGAAGAGGGGTGCTAAGAATTTTATTGCAAATCTTATGAGAGCAGATGGGTCTTCTACTACTTCGTTGGACGAGGTGGCTCAACTCCTTGTGGATGTTAAGAATTATTATTGCAAATTCTTATGAGAGCCAGATGCGGTCTTAAGAGGGGTGCTAAGAATTTTATTGCAAATCTTATGAGAGCAGATGGGTCTTCTACTACTTCGTTGGACGAGGTGGCTCAACTCCTTGTGGATTACTATAAGGGGCTTTTGGGCACTAATCCTTCTGTTGATCCCGTTGACTCCGAAGTCTGGTCATTTGGGCCATGTGTGCCTAGTGAGGAACACTCATACCTCGTTAGGCCGGTTACAGAAGATGAGATTCGGCAGGCGCTTTTTGATATTGAGAATGATAAAGCTCCGGGACCGGATGGCTATTCATCAGGATTTTTTAAGAGTCAGTGGTCTTTGATTGGTGGTGACATTGTGGCAGCTGTTCAGGAATTCTTCGTCTCTGGTTCACTCCTAAAACAGGTAAACCATACAGCTATTTCTCTTATCCCAAAGAAGACCCATAACCAAGGGGTTTCGGACTTCAGGCCCATCTCATGTACCAATGTCCTATATAAAATTATTACCAAAATCCTAAATGATAGGATGTTGCCCCTGCTGGATGGGATAATAGATCGAGCTCAGGTGGCTTTCGTCCCTGGTAGGGATATGGTTGAGAATATTTTCTTAGCACAAGAGTTGGCCCGTGGATATGCTAGAAAGCGTATTTCTCCGAGGTGTATGATCAAGTTGGATATCTCAAAGGCATATGACACAGTGTCCTGGTCTTTTCTTAATGCGGCTTTACTGGGGATTGGTTTCCCGACCACTTTTGTGGCTTAGATTATGGAGTGTGTCACCACGTCCTCATTCTTAGTGATGGTAAATGGTTCCTTGCATGGTCACTTTAAGGGTGAAAGGGGCCTTCGTCAAGGTGATCCTATGTCCCCTTCTCTTTTCATTATTTGTATGGAGTATTTATCACGGATGCTTAGCTTGAGAACAAGAAATGGGGCTTTCAACTTCCATCCGAAGTGTGCAAAGCTCTGCATTTCTCATTTTGCTTTTGCAGATGATCTGATGCTTTTCTCTAAGGGGGATCAGTGGTCGGTTAGTACTCTTGTGCAGACTCTAAGGGACTTCGAGAAGGTTTCTGGACTTGTTGTGAGTCCAACGAAGTCTAACATCTTTTTGGGAGGGCTGGCTGGAATTGAGAAGGATTTGATTCGCCACATTGTTTCTTTTCCGGAAGGGACTTTCCCGGTTCGCTACTTGGGGGTTCCTCTTTCCCCTCAGACGGTGAAGATAATGGAATTTGACCCCCTCATTCGTACTATTGAGGCCTTTT